TCACTGTATGGAATCAATGCCACCAGCTGGTTTTCTTGCCCTAAAAGTGAAAGAAGTAGGTTTAAAATGTTTATTAACATGATTAATTAAATATATAGTAGTTCCTCATCAAAGTCTGGTTTGGAAAGACCAGAATACCATCTGGCTCTCATCTCATTCCTTTAGTAAATTGCTCCAAAATCTTCAAAAATTTTTCTGTAGATGTTGAGTTCTAGAGCAGACCTTATGTTTTTTTCATACCCAGATGTCTAGCTAATTGAAATAGTATGAAGAATAGTAAAGAATCGAAAAGAGTAACTCTTCCATGAACAAAAAGGTAAAAAAATTCCAGCTATCCAAAGGCCTGAATTTGCCAGGCCTTCCTTCAACCCCATAGTTTTCCATTAAAACTCTGAGTTAGTTACCTGGATTAGAGCAGAAGAAACAAATTGCTTCCTGTGTGTCTTGAAACCCTTGTAACTACAAAGGTTCCTGTGCCATCCCTGTTGAAAACCCCAACTGACCAAGTCTCATGCTTGGAGAGCCATATGTAACAATTCTTCCAGGATTCTTTCAGGCCACACCCCTCTCGACATTAAATCTCTTCAAAATCCATCATTTATTTCTTGGGTTGAGCTATATCCACATACTTTAATGGATAAATGGATTATTAAATGCCAATTTTTCCAATCTTATCAGAACTTGGCTCTTCGGATTAACTATTAAAGCACTAGTTAAAGTCTCTTCTAAAGCTTCCCGTAACGCTTCCATTATTTCTCCCTGCCTTCTCCATAACTCTCCCCTGATTTACACTACGCCCACCATAACCACATATAAATACACATATTATGTATACATGTCTCTCTGTATATATAGCATCTTGTTTGGTGGTATTTATTTGGCTAAACTACAATCCTGGTTAAAACCAAACCTTTAGCTGCTATACCTATATCCACACAGCTAGATGTGGATAGAGAAAAGCACAACTATGCTCGCTGGTCTCATTTTAGATCGCTGATCTCAAGTGGCCCTTAATGATGCCAACAATCATACTATATTTCCCTAGTTCACACTTGCAACCTAACACCCACGACCAACCACAATTTCATAACTTCAACTTTCTTTCTGAAATCTCAAATACCTTCTTCCCTTAGGTCACCATGTGGCAAATAGGAGAGAATTTCCACAAGCTCCCACTGCCACACCCACTCACCTCTCTATTTCTGTGTCCACACTCGCTACCTTCTCTCGTTTCTAAGAATAAAGTGCAGGTGCTGCTCTCCAAGTGTGGCCCTATGCACTTGTGCCTAGATTTAATCTCCCGTTTCCTGCACTATCAATGTTTTCTTTATGGATCTCTCACTTCCTCTTTTTCTGTACAGCAAAACTCCTCAGAAAACCTATCTTCCTGCTATATAACTTCATTTCGCCTATGCTTTCTTGGTCCCACTCTATACATGATCTACAGGCTTATACAGGCTACCAAAACTGCTCTTTTAAAGGTCTCCAGTGGCCTCTAATCACCAAATCCAATGGTCAGTTCTCCATCCTCACATTAATTGATCTATCAGTAGCATCCAACACAGTTGATCACTCTCTCTTCTTGGTGCACGTTTTACATTTATCTTCCCGGATACCACTAAAACAGAGATTTCTTCCTTTTACTCTAGCTGCTCTTTTCCAGTGCCTTTGCTAATTCTTTCTCATGTAACTGACCTCAAAATGTTGTAATGCCCCAGGGTTCAATGCTAGGGTCTCTTCCTTTTTCTTTTCACTCCGGTGAATCTGGTGCTCTCACCCAATTTAACTTTAAATACCATCTATGTACTAATGGCTCCTGTCTACACCTTGCACTTGAATTCCAGGCCCTTATTATAACTAACTGCCTACTGAGCATATCCGCTTATGTGCCAAATACGTATCTCCAAACGTTCAAAACTAAAATTGAGCTCCTGATCTCTCCGCTGACATATACACTCATACCTTTTCTCCATCCTAAGAGCTACTCCTTTCTTCCAGTTGCTCAAACGAAAATACCTTTGGAGTCTACCCTTGATTTCCTACTATCCAGAACACACTTCCAGGCTGCCAAAAAAAGCCCATTGGCCATACCTCAAAAATATATCCAGATAATGCTCCCCTTCCCCCAGCCTGGTACATTAATCCCTTTGACTAAAATAATCCTTTTATTCTCAAACAGTTGCTTTGCCTGCAAAGATAAAACCATCACATTCAAAGGCAACTCAAATATAAACTTGCCCAACTGCAAAGCATTTATCAGAGACTTGGATGGACCTTACACTGTCACTTTGTCCTTCCCTCTGGGTCTCTCCAGAGTCATATATCAACTCTTAAGCAGAAAATGAGAACAGTGCAAGGTACTTTCATTATTTCTATTGTTGCCACTGCTACCAAAGTAGCCTACAAGTAGCACAGGGGGACTA